CTCTCTTAATGTACATGATGACCCGTTCCGACCTCGTGAAGATGATGAAGAAATACTCGGTCCAGAAATACCATACTTGAGTGCTATTGGAGCTTTGATGTATCTAGCAAACAACACTCGGCCAGATATTGCATTCTCAGTGAACTTGTTAGCCAGACACAGCTCGACCCCGACTAGGAGGCATTGGAATGGCATTAAACACATTTTGCGATATCTGAATGGTACCATCGACCTTGGTTTATTCTACCGCAAAGATGCCAAGGCCACTCTTGTTGGATACGCTGATGCAGGATATTTGTCTGATCCTCAAAAAGCAAAATCTCAAACAGGATATGTGTTTACTTATGGAGATACCGCAATATCATGGAGATCGATGAAACAAACTTTGACTGCCACATCATCAAATCACGCGGAGTTGATAGCTCTCTACGAAATAGGTAGAGAATGTGTATGGTTGCGATCAATGATCCAACATATCCAGAGTGGGTGCGGTATAGAAACAATTACTAGTCATCCGACTCCTATATAGGAAGACAATACTGCATGCATTGCTCAAGTGAAAGGAGGTTACATCAAAGGAGACCGAACAAAGCATATATCACCAAAGTTCTTCTCAACACATGATCTCGAGAAAGATGGAAAAGTTGACATCAAGCAAATCAAGTCCAGTGAGAATCTCGCTGATTTATTTACAAAAGCGTAACCCCCGAAGAAATTTGAAGAACTCGTACACAAGATTGGCATGCGTCGCCTCCGTCAATTATGCTAAGCTGAGGGGGAGAATTTTATGAACTGTACTCTTTTTCCCTTGATCAAGTTTTTATCCCACTGGGTTTTTCTGACAAGGTTTTTAACGAGGCAGTACATAAAATTAGAATGGGTTACTAAACTATGTCCATTTCACGAAATACTCATCATTAATTGAAAAATGAACATTCAAGGGGGAGTGTTATGAAATTAATGATTGTTCATTTATTCAATTAATCAGGACTAATTTCTAGAATAGTAGATTAAGACACTCATTGATGAGTATCAATTATGTACCGTACTTCCCACTTGTATTTGTATCCATTCCAAGGCTCTCCACTATAAATAGAGGTCTAATCCCTGCATTGTAATCACCATTAAGAATAAGAAGAAGAGTGAAGAGTTAATAGAGAGAAGAAATCAGAAATATATTATATCTATTCTTATAATCTTTGAGTAGTTTTTCTCTCATTTTATAACAGTTTATAATTTGTGGAAAAGTCCAATTTTTTTTAGTTACATGTCATGTTAAGTTTGAACCTATATGAAGAATTTTGGTGAATCAAGTGGTGACATTCTAAGAGATTATTTATTTGAATTATATATGTCTTGCATGGAAATATCAAAAGTAATTTAATAAAAGCGGAAGCACTTGAACTTAATTTTTAACTTTTTTGAAGTTCATTTGTTTACAATTTTTTAATATCTTAAATTTTATGTCCTCCTTAAAATTATAAAATTTTACTCCGTAATATATTTTAATCTTAAAATTTTCATGAATACTTTTTACTTTGTTCAAACTCAAATTTAACCGTAACCAATATGACCGAATTCAAACCAAAAAAATAAATATCCAAAATTGACACGCCAAAATCAAACCTGAGGTTTGACCTAAGTCGTGTAATTTTACAATTTACTCAAACCCACTTACTGTAACGCCCCGAAAAAAGGCCTATCAGAATTAATTAATTGATAATGAATTAATTATTAAGAAGGACCCAAAAATAAGTGATTTATAAAGTTTGTCAATAAATAATAAAATTTATATCGTTGTGTACAGTTTGACTGTGTGACCGCAACAGTTCAATCAGATTTCAATTTGGAGAAAGTTGGACCAAAAAGTGTACCCCGACTGGACCAAAATTAGTCCCAATTAGGGAACGACGTGTGAATCTCGCAGAAGCCGATTTTTACCGTTTGAAGATCGGCTACTTGATTCCTGAATCAGCAATCTCGCGTCTTCTTCACCTCCCATTCTCTATATAAGGAAACCTTTAAAACCTTATTTCTTCTAAATTTTCTTGTTGTGAGTTCTGAGAGTGTGTGGAGTGTTGTGGTGTTGTTAATTTGGTGTAATGTCCCTGGAGCGGAGAGTTATCGTCGCCGGATATTTCGTCGTTCAATCGCCGAAAACATCGTTTAGTTTCGAGGTAAGCCCGTAGATATATCTAGTGGTTATAATGTTCGTATAGGTCGTTTCTACGTTTATAAACGATCGTTTGGTTGAGTTTTGTGTTTGACATACTTAAAGAACCAAGAATTATAAATCTTGAAATAGTTGTTAAAACTATGAATTAGTGATACCAAAATGATCTATGAACCTTGGAAAACATTTCTATATAGTTTAATTGGAGTTCGGTGACTAAAAATGCATGGTATTTTCGAAATTGGACCTGAAATGAAGAAGAAGATGAATAGTCATCGAAAAACCAGAGTGTGGATCGATCCACCCTCCTAGATCGATCACATGGAGAAGTTTTTCTACGGTGGATCGATCCTAGGTACTGGATCGATCACCTGACCGGGTTTGCTCCGAAAATGCTATTTTTGAGCTCTAAAATCCTATTTTTGATACCAATTAATTATGATTAATACAAAGATGATTTCTTAGAATAAAAATAATGTTTTGACAACTAAGAGGACTTTGCATGATGCATGACGGTAAGCTAGGGTGTTAACACTCGACGCTAGGCCGCTATTTGATATTGGATACTATGATGATTGCTTGATTGTTGATTATGATGGACATGACAGATTAATTATGATGAATTTTCTGAATGGGATGTACATATATATATATATATATATATATATATATATATATATATATATATATATATATATATATATATATATATATGATGATTTTAAAAATTCACAAACAATATTCTTTTTTAAATGAATAAAATTTAAATAACTTTTTTAAAAAATAATATAATAGTTCAAATTTGATGATTCAATAAAAGAATTGAAAAAATTTGTTTAGATGTGATGATTTCAATAAAAAAATCAATTTGAACAATAATAATTACAGTATTATGAAACTAGAAAGGATTACAACCAAACCAGAAAACTAATGGTTTGTATATTTTTGGTAGAAAATTAAACCAAAATGAACTACTAACTTACTTTTTGTTTAGTGTTTAGTTTTAGGTGAAAATCGAACACACCACTAATGAGGACGGCGGCTAGAGCTCTGGATTGGGAAGTGGCGACTTTGGCTATAAATTCTGGCAACAGACGGCGGCAACTCTTGGTGGCTTAGTCTTGGGCTTCGATTTGGGAAGTGGTGCGAAAACTCAAAGAACGTCTTCGTCTTGGAGTTCGATTAGGCAGTGGTGCGACAGTTCCTAGGATGGCTTCGACTTGTGGCATTATACGGTTGAGTGGGTGAGTAAAGAGAAAAAGTGATATTCTAGATAGATATCGGCGAACAATTTTTGTCTTGATCTATTTTCAATATCGATAGGATAGACTGAAAAAGAAAAAAAGACCAGTACGTGAGGATGAAAGAAGGATGAACTATGACTTGAAGGATTCCTCTTCAAAGAATAGTGAAGAAGGATGTCCAAAGGTCCAGAATTGGAGCACATTTTTAAAATGTATTTTTAACGTCATTCTTTTTCTAAAATTGAAATATTTAGCGGTAATGGCCCTTTCCATGTCGGAAAGTAAAGAGATCGTTCTTTTTGTTTGATATGATGGGATCTGATATGAATTTGTTAAATTCTGATTTGATATGATGGCAATTATATTTAAAAATTTTTTTATCTGGTTTGATATGGTTCTAATAAGAGCAAGCAATAAGTAATGAGAATAAGTTGGAAAACAAACAAACTCTATGTCCACAAAATAATGTGAGAATGTCCACATTTCCTTAGGACTACAATTGTATCTACAACGTTATATGGTACAATCGGATGTACCTCCATCTTGGTACATCATGACAAACTTGGAATTAAAAATACGCTTCCGAGTGAACACTACGTTGTTTCATAATAAACATGTTTAAAATAGAACACTACATTGTTTTAGAATGAACATTATACTTAACCTGATTAAAATGAACACTACGATTAAAAATGAACATTCTATTGATTCAAAATTAATATTTATCAGGTCTACCTAGCTAACTCAACATACAGCCAGGTGTACAATATTGTAGAAAATAATAATGGAGAATAAATCTACATTGAATTGTCTTAGAGATTACAAAGAGTCAATCACCTTTATATACGAAAAAAGGAAACTAATAAGTAAATTTCTATTTCTACCATAATTCTATTCATATTATAACAAAAAAGGGAAAACTAGGAAAGATATTAAACCACATCATTAAGAGATTTGGTTTCCTTCTTCTGTCGCCAACACCCCCCTCAAGCTGGGGCATGAGGGTTCTGCACACCGAGCTTGGGCAACAAAATATTTGAAAAAAGCTTGAGCAAGTCACTCACATCGTTATCCAAGAGTCATCTAGACACTTCAATTTTTTTCTTCTTTGACGGAAATTCCAAGCTTTTTGAATCCGCCTAATAATCAATGAAGCAAAAGAACACCATTCTTTTCAAATTTTTACCGAATTCGAACGAACATGGGGAACATCATTCTTTTCGAACACCCTGAACGCTAATTTTTTACCACCTCCAAAAGAAAGAGTTGTCTGCCTCTCTAAAACAACTCTTGTTGGACATTTTCTTTTAGATTGATGGTTGGAATTTCTCGGCAGCAATGTTCTTCATTGAAGCAGTCCATGTGATTGTTTAGTGAGGGGGAGCTATCAAAGAAAATCAAAAGATTACAATATCTTGCTAGCAGATATTGAATTGTAAGAATTCAAAACCTACTCCAATACCATGTAGTATATAATAATGAAGAATAATTCTTTATTGAATTGTCTTGAAGATTACAAAGAGTCAATCACCTTTATATAGGAGAGAAGGAAACTCAAAAGTAAACTTCTATTCCTACCATATTTTTATTCTTACTATAACAAGAAAAAGAAAAACTAAGAAGGACACTAAACCGAATCCCATAGGGATTCAAATTCCTCCTTCTGTCGCCAACAAGTATACATTCTCTAATAGTACCACTTTTCCCACTCCTACCAAGTTTATAAGAATGTATATTGTACATCTTGTTTAACGTAGAAGCATTTACACATGACAAATATTTATTTTGAATCAACAAAATTTTCATTTTGAATAAAAAGAATGTTAATTTTCAACCGTGATATTTATTGTGAAATTTGCTCAACATAATGTTCATTTTGAAATAATATAATATTATTCTGAAACAACATATAATAGTGTTTATTTTGAAATAATGTACGATCATTCTGAAACATTTTTGTAATTGCAAATTTGCCATAATGTATCAAGAGGAAAGTACATCGGGGTGTATGGTATACTTTGACCAAATTTATAGTAAGAGGATTGGGAAAAAGAAATAAGATGACATCAATTTAATACACTTTTGATGTACACTTTTTCGTTCAATTTATTTTTTTATCTTATTACTTATTCTTAATAAAATCAGATAAAATCTAATAATGTCAGATCAAATCCGAAACAAGTTTAAATATAATTATAATTAAATTAAATTAGATCAGTTCAGACTATGATTTTCAAAAATCATATCAAATTAGACAAAAGCATCCCAGTCGAGATACATCACCATGCAGAGCATTGATAACATCAAATCTTAAGCCACAACCAAAACACCAATTGAACATAGATAGCACAACAAGTTTAGGACAAACTCAATTGGTCGAGGTAAATACACAAAATCAGTGATTAATAAACTTGGCAATTTGGGTTATGAGATAAAAAGCTTTAATTGAATGGATATGGTTGAGGTAGAAACTGTGTCCCACCCCTGCTACCTCCAACAGCTCAATTTCACCTCTCCACCCGCTTCCGTTCACCGCGTTCACATACTCCACCCCCTTCGCTCTCAGGCCATCAAGCTCCGCAATCGACACGAAGATGCGGGATGTTCGTAACCCAGTTATCCGCTTCGAAAACGGGTTGATCATCGGGTTGTCGATCCCGCCCGGAGCCGCCGGGTATGCGAAGCTCCAGTCTCTGTACCCGAAGCTCTGGGTGTCGCCGTCCTTGGATCCCCAGAAGAACGGGTGGGTCAGGATTCCGCCGAAGATTCTCAGGTTTCCGGGTAATTTCTCGCCGGCGGATCTGACGATCATGTTGTGGACTATGTTGGCGCCGGAGCTGTCTCCGCCGAGGAACACTCTGCTGAAGTTTCCGTGCTGGAGGAGTGCCGGATCTGTCCGGGCTGACCCGGGAACAGCGTGGGATGCGACCCATCGGACGGCGGCCCAGCTGTCCTCGTATGCGGCGGGGAGAAGGTGCTCCGGCGCGATTCGGTAGTCGACGGAGACGGCGAGGATCTTCGATTTGGACGCGAGGATGTTGAGGAACTGGTGGTCGCCGGAGGCGAATGCGGATCCCATACAAAACCCGCCGCCGTGGTACCAGATCAGAACCGGGAGCTTCTCGGAGCGGGATTCAAGCCGAGGGAGATAAATCCGGGCGGGAATTCTGCCGGAAATGGTTATGTCTCTGGAAGAGACCCCGGTGGCTGGATCGCGCGGTGACGGAGGGAGTTTCTTCTGGTCGAGCGGGCGGTTGATTGTGCCGTTTCTGAAGACGAAGATTAGAGGCGGAACGGAGGCGACCACCTGGCCGCCGTCGTCGGCGCCGGCCACCAGTGGGGAGTAGAAGGAAAGAGCCGCAAAGCTGAAGAGAATGGCTAAGAGCACAGGGGAGGAGGCCATTGTGGACTTTGGAGTATGTGTGATAATGCCGAGTTATGGGAAGTTGTATATCATAGAAGTCTCTATTCCGCATTATAGGGGTAATGAAATTTTTAATGCTGGGTTTATCGGCATATGTAATTGTGCCTTTGAAACGAAGTTGACAAAAACAGGCAAAAGGAGATGTTCTTCGGATTTTAGTACTATCGCATGGGCAAGATATAATATGATAAGAGTTGTGAAATTCTAGATAAATAATACTCTCTCTATCCTTGGCCTTGAGTATTTGTCCAGTATTCTTTTTTGGGCCGTCCTGCAGTATTTGTCCACTTTCCTTTTTAAGTAAGGAAAACAAAGTAAAAAGTCTAATTTGCCCTCTAAAAACAAATTTGTCTTTCTCCTTCGACCCTTGCCCTCTCATCTCTATCTCCAAAAACATATTTGCACTGTGAATATTTTTGGATTCAAAAATTGATTTGCACTCAAAAATTGATTCGCACTCACCTTTTTTTAATTCAATTGCATAAATCTCCGATTCCCAATTTCATCTCTATCTCGTCTTTAAAATCCAATTGCAGCTACTTGGAGCAAATCAAACACATGAGGTGGCACACTCTGTCTCGTCCTCAAACCTCAGCACAAACATTGTCGATGTCGTCCTCCATGGAAGCTCTTCTTGACGTTGTCCCTCTCCGTCGAGGACGCCTGAATCGAAAATAGTCATTGCCATCTGGATCGAAAACCCATACTTGTTTTGATTCTCCTTCCTCCTTTCTCACTTCTCCAATCTATGTGCATCGATATTAGTAGCAGGGAGATGGTTAAGTAGCAGCTAACTTTGTCGTAGTGTTTTTCTTGAGCTCGGAGGATGAGGCTTGTAGGATGGGGATGGTTGGTATCGAAGGGGTGGGAGGATGACGATAGTCTTTTGGGGGGGGTAAGTGAGTCATTTTGCTCCTCACCTTGGTAAGAGTGCCAATTTCAAAGTGGACAAAAATTGGGGGACGGAGGGAGTATGTGTTTATGAAACGAATTTGTTTGAAGAGAATCAAAATATTGATTTAATTAGTGATAACCAGGGATGATTGGCGAAGGTTGGTTGGTGGTGACAATGGTAGCCGGAGGTGAGTAATGATCAACTGTTGAGAGAGATATGAAACCCTTATATTGATATCTCCCAAATTCAGAAGATATCGAAACCTCCCATTTTCAAGATTTACGATATCTGGAGATATCGAATTTGATATCTTTTTTGGCTTCACCAAACACTAAAAAAAGATTTTGATATCCTAAAATATCAAAACTCATATCATGTTTGCTCACAAGCACATAAAATTTAGAGGTTCACCGTAACGTTGTGCAGTTGGCAAAAATAAAAATTACTAAGAGAGTCTCCAATGGGTTGTTAAATATTATTTTAGCAACCAAATACTCTAACCATGCGTATAATAACAAAATAGATGAATGAAATCTACCCTTATTATTATTATTATTATACAAGGGCCTATAATGTTCGGATCGCCCTTTTTCCGTCCATTTTTTACTGTTTACATTAACGCCGTTTGGTACTTCTCCACTCACGACTTCTCATTTTCATCCTTTACCTCCGTAGCTAGCTTCTACACTTTGCTCCCACTTTCCATTTTAGACTTCCATCTCAGCAACTGAATTCTAGGATCTAATATTGTTGACATCACTAGTTCTAAGGGTAAATTTCACCCATGGTATACGAACTTTCGTCATTATTTCACTTCGGTATATAAACTTTAATTTCTTTCACAAAAGTAAATGAACTTTTAACATTCTTTCACTGGTGGTCCAATAGGCGATTTCTAGATCACTTTCAGGTCATTTGGGGTTAACTTATAATTTTATAAATTTAAATTTTTTATTTTGACCCCTTCCCTCCCTTTTCTCTCTTCCTCTTTCCCAGCCAGCCCCCCCCCCCC